AGCATAGTGGTTATGAATCAGGCTGCTAACCTCAAGGTCGGCAGTTCAAAACTACCCCCTGTTCCACGGGAGAAAGATGAGGCTTTCTGCTCCCGTAAAGATTTACAGCCTCAAAAACCCTGTACAGGGTCGCTATGAGTCGGAACCAACTCCATGGTACTTAACAACAACATGAGTCATAGACAGCTGGATGGCATGACAATAGACAGGGGCATTGCAGGCACCAGGAAGAAGACCCTACATTTCTTCTACGAGGAAACCATGTGCTTTTGGAAGCACTAGGAAGGATCTCAAATTAAATTTCAGAATTTTGGTTAAAGAACACTGTTTTTTTCATTTCCTGATAAAAGGTACCACTTTGATATGTAATCGGTGCCAAGAAAATGAATCTTCAGATGGTCTTAGCATGCATTTTTCTGGGAGAAAGCTGTTTGGACCGTTTCTTTGCCTTTCAGCTCATGGTATTACTGAAAAAACAAAGGGTCAAACTGAGGTTTAAATTTTCTGGTAAAAAACAAATTGAAGGATTTAAAAATGTTTTCTTGAGAACTTTTTGAAATGTCAAGTGTTTAGTCAAGGTGTGCTCTAAAAAATTTCAGTATGATTTTGAAATTTTGACAATATTAAACCATCACACACATATTGGCAGACTGAAATAGATCTGTGAATCCTTATAGAGCAAATAAGTGGTGAGTACATTTTGCATTGTCTGTTGTTTTTAGCTTCTGTTGTGCTCTGGTATTTCTTTTAAGGCTGGTATTTTAATCAGTCCTTTCTATTTTCTGCCTTTAAATGTATTTTGAAACTCTATATATCAAATGACAGATCCTGGAGTTGTTATGTAAAAATTTTGAGGTGTTATTTGGGAGTAAACCAAATTGCTACAGCAAGCCTCAGTGTTGGGCTCCTGCAGAGGGGATGGTGAGCTTGAACCACCAACCTTGTGGTTTACTCAGTGCTTATCCTGCATGCTACTGGGCTCCCGTCAAACAAAGGTAGGTCCTTTAAAGTGTGTGTGTTTAAAGAGTGTGTGTGTGTGTGTGTGTGTGTGTGTGAGTGAGTGTGTTGGCAGGAGGGCAGAGGAAGCATAATTGTGATTGGACCACATATTCTTAAATGAAAATCCATACATCTATAACAAGTGCAGGGGTTCCTGGCTTTACTATGAGGAAATCTCAAAAGAATGTAGGTTTGGAAAATACCAGTTGAGTGAGGTTTTTAGATGAACACACCTGTGGCTGTTCTCAACTGGTTAAGGTCGTTACTTGTTGAGATAGGTTTACGTGAAACCCCCATTTGAAAGAGTGTAATGGGTAGGTAGAATGGTAGCCACCCCCACCCCCCCAAAAAAAAGATTTGTTCATGTCCTAACCCCTTGGAACCTGTGAATGTGACCGTATTTGTAAAAAAGTACATCTGCAGATTTAGTTAATGATCTCTAGATAAAGTCATCCTGGATTATCTGGTGGCTGCTGAATCCAATGGCAGGTGTTCTTAGAGAAGGGAGAGCAGGTCAGGTGAAGGCAGACGCAGAGTGAAGTTAGGCAGCGACCAGCCAAAGAAGCCACCAGAAGCTCTGAAGTGGGGGGGGCGGGGGGGAAGGAAGGATTCTTCCTAGAGCCTTAACAAGGAGGTATTTCTGCTAACTAACACCTTGATTCTGGACTTCTAGCCTTCAAAACTGTGAGAATCAATTTCAGTTGTTTTAAGCCACCAAGTTTGTAGTAATTTGTTACAGCAGCCCTTGGAACCAAATACAAAGTAGATGGCTGCTTCAATGGCTTCACAGACCGGAGACTTGAGTAGCAGAACCAAGCCCGTTGCTGTTGAGTGGTCACGTGTGTCAGTAGACTTGCGCTCCACAGGGTTTTCAAGGTTGTGTGTCATATTGGAAGCAGATCAGCAGGCATGTTTTCAGAGGTGCTGCTGGGTGGATTTGAACCTCTAACCTTTGTGTTAGCATTTGGGTGCGTTAATCATTTGTACCACCCAGACACTCCTTAAAAGCATTCTGGATGTATGGGAAACTCAACAAAAACCAGCTAATAGTTTGAGAACAAAATTGACAGCAGCAGTCCTGAAATGGTGACTAAATGTTCAATTCAAAGGAGAAGCTTCTCTTTTATTCCAGGAAATTATAGCCACAAAGGGACCAGAGAAACCAGTGTCTAAACATGTGGCTTTTTAAAGAGAAGCTAGAAATCTGAAATTTTATGTAAATCTCCTGGCTATTAATTCACAAGCAACTAATTCACAAGAAGAGACAAATCCACACCTTAAGAATAAAAAGAAAAATCTTCAAAAACTTTCATGGAGAAATTCTATTTTTCACAAATTTTTTGAAGCCCCTTTGTGTGTGTGCCTGTGTGCACCAACAAAAACACATCGGGAGGACTCATTGGTCCGGGGTCTCCATTTTATGATGGATAATGTGAATGGTGGTGGGGAACATTACTCCATATAGAAGGGGGCTTTGAAAACCTTTTGGAAAAGTAGAATGAAAAGATAATGGAATTCTTGGGTGAGGGGAAAGGCTCTCTACAGCAAGAGAAAGGTTGGAAGAGAAAAGGTAGAAAGCAGCCGAAGATACAGGGAGGAATGCTAGAGTTCAAGTAAAGAAGGAAAAAAAAACGGTCATGGAACTTTTCAACGCCCACTCAGAAAGTATTTTTGGGCTCTTTAAAAATCTCCAGTGGCTGAAAGCAGAGAATACCAGGAAGATATTTACCTGTGCTTTATTGACTACGCAAAGGCTTTTGATTGTGTGGATCATGACAAGCTATGGACAACATTGCAAAGTATGAGTTTCTGGAACACTTAATTGTGCTCATGAGGAATCTGTACATGGACCAAGAAGCAGTTGTTCGAACAGAACATGGGAACACTGAATGGTTTAAAATTATGCAAGGTGTGTGACAACGTTGTGTTCTTTCACCATACTTAATTCAACGTGTATGCTGAGCAAATAATATGAGAAGCTGGGTTCTATGAAGAAAAACATGGCATCAGGATTGGAGGAAGACACATTAACAACCTGCAATATGCAGATGATACAAGCTTGCTTGCTGAAAGTGTTCAGGACTTAAAATATTTACTGATGAAGATCCAAGAGCACAGCCTTTGGTATGGATTACATCCCAACGTCAGGAAAACAAAAATCCTCACCACTGGATCAATCACAACATTCTTATCAACTGAGAGAAGATTGAAGTTGTCAAAGACTTCATCCTTCTTGAATCAACTATCAACACTTATGGAAGCAGCAGTCAAGAAATCAGATGACATATTGCATTAGGCAAATCTGCTACACAAGACCTTTTTAAAGTGTTGAAGGGCAAAGATGTCAGCTTGAGGACTAAGGTGTGCCTGACCCAAGCCATGGTATTTTCAATAACCTCATATACATGCGAATGTTGGACAGTGAATAAGAAAGATCATAGAAGAATTGATACATTTGTGTTATGGTGTTGGAGGAGACTATTGAAAGTGCCATGGGCTGCCAAAAGAACCAACAGATCTGTGTGGGAAGAAGTACAGCCAGAGTGCTCCTTGGAGGCCAGGATGGCCAAACTTTGTCTCTCATACTTTGGACTTATTGTCAGGAGGGACCAGTCACGGGAGAAGGATATCATGTTTGGTAAGGTGCTGGGTCAAAGAAGAGGAAGACCCCCAGTGAGATGCATTGGCAAAGTAGCAGCATCAATGGGCTCAAGCATAGCAACAATTGTGAGGTTGTCCCGGGAACAGGCAGTGTTTCATTCTGTTGGGCATAAGGTCATTATGAGTCGGTCGGACTTGATGGCACCTAACAACAACAACAACTGCTGGGAAATGGAAGGTTTTACTGGTTGTCTGTGCTTTGCTGAGACTTGCAGAATGTAACCATACAGAAACTGTTTAACATGTTAAATATTTTATTCACATTGTGTACAAACTATATCCACCTGGAAAACACATGAATCCAAAAATAGATTATTTTACAGTAATTCACATTTTATTTTAAGCATGGAGGTCATGAGCCTGGTCAGTGCCTCTTCCCTTGGCTCTTCCTGCTCTGGGGAACTGGAAATTGCAGGACAGTCCACTGCTGGAGGCCTTCAAAGACTGGGTATCAGTGACGGACGGGCGAGCAAATGTCAGTGCAGATTTTAACCCGTGAACATTTACTGGTGGAAATTCACTGTCACTATTTTTGCCAAGGAAATGTGTGTTTTAGAGCTTGAAGTACACATCAGGTAGGAAGACAAAATAAATGAGACTCACACTTTAATTGGCCAGTACAGAGTTGTCAGGACACTCCCAGTTCAGGGAGATTTAACATCTTTGCCACAGACAGATTCAATTAATTGCGATTGTTTTGTTTTGAAGACTTGAGTCACAGAAGCTGCAGCAATTTGTAAATGAATGCATCTGTTGACTTACTCTTTGCAGATCTGACAGCAGCCACCATTTGGGAGAACCAAGAGGAATAAACTCAGCACCCTTCCCGTTTTACCATGGCTGATTTTACCGGGGCTGTAACTCTAGAAGAATGCTCATTGGATTTTTCCTGAGTGGCCAGAAAAATGCTCTGGTTAAGAAACTTTAATAATCTATGCTAAATTTAATTTGTGTACTAGTTTCATGGCTTGGCTTTATTAAAAAGATTTGTTCTATGGACTCTGACTTAAAGGATCTGAAGTCTTAAGTATGCATGTCTTACCCATATCTCACCCTCTCCTACTGTACAAACTACAAATGAATCACCTTTTTCCTTTGTGAGCAGCCACAGCCAAACATAGGAACACTTTTGAACCTTTAGGATAGGAGCCTGGGGTGAGTCTCTACTGGCAGAATTCAGTAATTTTCTTTTCTTTTGAGCAGTGGCAATAGCATTAGTTATTCTGGATCTACACTTCTTGTCTAGGGAAATAGTATTTGATCAAAGTATTGCAAAAGATCATCCCTTCCTCCCCACCCCCCAACCCCAATTTTTTTTCAGGTGTTGTTACCATCACCCCCTGCCCCCACGGCCCAAGTAGATAGCAACAACTCCGAATCCAAATACAAGCTGTGATGTGGAGAAATTTTATCAGCACGTTCGCAGGTTTCATAAAAGAATAGAAGAAAAAGAAAAAGGGTTTTCAGAGGTCTATTGCAATCTGATTGTTTTAAAAGAGAAATCCAGACAGTGCACTCCTTGCACGGAACAGATCATAGCTTGTCTTCCTGCCACCCGTGTGCATTTTTTCCGAATTTGTACACTAACCTTCGGTCGACCCGTTCCAAAATTCCTGTTTTATAGTAGTATCTGTGAAAGACAGCAGAAGGAGAACATGGGGCAGCCTGGCAAGCCAGGAGAACAACAGAATCCTAAACACTCCCTGGCCTTGTTCCTCTCAGGTGACAAGGCTGTTCTCAGGTTACCCTGGCATTGCCACCTCCCCTTATCAGCTTACACTTAAACCTTTCCCAGACATCTTGAAGATTGAACCGCACTATGCTCAGTTCCAAATGTGGGGTGTGTGTGGTGTGCTTGTGTGTGTGTATGTGTGTGAGAGAGAAGGCCAGGGTTCAGAGAGAGACTTGTGGAAGACTGCCAAGAAAGAAAAGAGTGGAGTGTCTGTTTACAAATCAGAATCCTCCCTGTAACTAAGAACCCAAATGTTGTCTCGTGGCCTTTGGATGATCAAGTAGAAAGCTGCAAAAACAGTGTAAGCTTGTCCCACCGGCCATTTACATAACTCAGCTTGAAGGCTCAGGGTAGCTCAAGCTGTTTACTTACCTGAGAGCTCTGCTCAGTTTTTCGTACGTCATTCTGTCATTTTTCTTCCTTTGTCCCCACATCTTGGCCAGGGCTTCTGATTTAACCACCCGAAAAATACCTTGTTCCCTATCCTCCCATTCCAGAATGCCACAGTTTTCTTCAGGAGATAGGAGCAGGTCTCGCACGAATTCCCAGAGGTGAGAGCTTTGGAGACCTTTTGAGAAAGAAAAGAGAAAAAAAAAAGGTTACTTAATTTTTTTATTTTTAAGAGAAGCATTGCACCACTTTTCATTGTTGTTGTTAGTTGCTGTCGTGTCCGTTCTGACACACAGTGACCCCACGTATGACAGAATGAAACACTGACCGGGTAGCGCCATCCTTACAATCACTGTTCATCTCCCAGTGCTATACTGGGCTCCATTCTGCTATGATTCATAAAGTTTCATTGGATACTTTTTGGAAGCAGATCACCATCTGTCTTAGGCTGAAAGCACAGCTGAACTCGGGTATAGCTTCCTGGATCACAGCAATACAGAAGTTGACCAACACAAGCAGGTAGCGGACAGCTTCTCATGAACCCAGGAGAATTGCTGTTTTGAGGGGATAGTGTCTGTACTTCTGATTAAACCTTTCTACTTAGAGCCTTACTGAGTTGTGAAATGTCTGTCTTCCATCACAGCCATTGCAACACAGACATTGACTCAAGGACCTTGCTTACCCTATAGGATTATGGGGTTAATTCCCATAGTTCCATTGGACTAAGGAAATGATAACCAAATGATCTTCTCACTGTCTTTTCTGTTAGGCAGAGTGGTTGTACTGAGATTTCAGAGCCACCACTGTCTGGGTGGACCAACCCTACAGTTGTTTTCCATGAAAGGCTGGGACTTCTCTTGTTCCATTTTATCATGGTAAAGACTGGTTTCCGAGTCTGACATCCTGGGTTTCGGCCTTGAAAGCACCTTTCCTTAGCTCTGTAACCTTCGGCAAGTTACCTAATCTCTTTAGTTAACTCATCTGTAAAATGGGGCTAAGATAAAAGTGAGGATTTGGTGATTTAATGCCTATTAAGTGGTGAGAACCACCCTTAGCAGGTAGCAAGTGTTCTCTGCACACACCAGGATTGTGAAATGGCAGGCTTGACTAGATGCTGGGTAAAGTTATCTTCTTACTGGGAAAGGCTAATGGAGTTGCCAACTCAGGACTCACTGTAGACTTTTTGACCCAGGAAAAACAAACACTTATTCAGAAATGCAACATAGCTGGGCACTTTTTCTACTTTCTCAGTTTAATTCTTATAATACCATTTCCAAAGGAAAGAAAATCAGTTTGACTCTGAGAGCATTTAACATGTCATCATCCACTCCTCTACTCCTTCCTTGGGAAATAATGCCCTACTCATTGGTTTAGTTCCAAAGCTTATTCAATTAGCTGGTTTTGTCTGATGAATGGTTTTAGCTATTGGAAATGAAAAATTGCATCTCTACACTTACTTGTTCGACTGTGAGTATGGCAGTCTTGACTTTTGATGCCTGTTTTCAAGCAACTGGAATCAGCATCTGAAATAGGATACTAGAGTAAGTCAAAAAGTATTGCTGCAAAATCATAGCAACCTTTATTAAACCAAACAATCCCAAAATGTGAATCTATGTTTCTTGACATACCCTCCCCTTAGATCTATAGACCTCTGAAGACAGTGTTTCCATCCCTCAAACCCTCCCTGAGGAATCTTGCACTCTTCGATTTACTACACGTCAAAACAGCATTTTTGGCATCTTGAGGGACTCATGTTATGTTCTTTAAAACATTTTTTTTTTTAGTTTTTTGGAAAAAAACAAGTCTGAAGGGAAAAGATCAGGGTTGTAGGGTGGGTGGGGTAAGGTTTCCCAATGGAATTCTCGTAGGGACAACTTGTGCTACTCCTGAAGAATGAGCGGGGCCATTGTAGTGATAGGAAAATACTCCTCAGCACAAATTTCCTGGCTTTTTCTTAATAACACAGTTTCCAATTTCCTTAAAACTTGTTCATAATAAGCCCCCATGATCATTCTGTGTCCTTTGAGACAATATATCAAGGTTGTTGTTGTTCTTATGTGCCGTCGAGTCAGTTCCGACCCATAGCATCCCTGTACAGGGTTTCTGAGGCTGTAAATCTTTACAGGAGCAGAAAGCCTCATCTTTCTCCCACAGAGCGACTGGTAGTTTTGAACTGCTGACCTTAAGGTTTGCAGCCCAATTTGTAACCACTATGCTACCAGAGCTCCTTCCTCCGGGAATTCCCCCCAAACCGTCACTATCACCTGAGCTGAACTCTCTGCCTTGAAATCTTCCCGACCTACCTTAAAACACTTGATCATCTAAAAACTGTTGTTTTATGTGGGGCAGCAATCCTGTAACTGGCTGCAAAGCCTCAATGATTTGGAAGGTGTCCTTCAATTGAGTTTTGCTGGAAATTCTAATATTAACCCTGACCTCAACGTCATTTTTTCCCCATGGCACGTATCCTTTGTTTTGAAGGCACCCTAACGAGACTAAGCCAAGTGTATTACTGAGAGAACTTGTCTGCAGACATTCACTGAGTGCAGAGACGTGGTGTCATAGATTGAGTTGCATCCTCTCACAGTATGTCATCTTGGCTAAGCCAAGCTTCTCAGTGGTTAGGCCATTGTGATGATCCTCCATGATGTGATCTGATGTGATAAACCAGTCAGAGGATTAAGGATGGGATACAGCACCCGTAAATCCATCATGACCCTGATCATGAGGAAAGGGAGATTTTTAGAGGTGTGGCCTGCAACACCTTTTATTTTATAAGCAATAAAAGGAGAGAGATGTCAGCAGAGAAGGGGGCATGCTACTACCAAGAGAGAAGAGCCAGGAGTGGACTGCATACTTTGAATCTGGGGTCCCTGCCCTATGAGGCTTCTAGATCCAGAGAAAGGTTAATGCCAGGACTCATGGAGAGCTCCAAGGAATGCTGGGCCTACAGATCTGAAAGGAGACGAGGACCTTTCTCCAGAGCCAATGCTCTGAATCCAGACTTCTAGCCTCTTAAACAGCGAGAGAATAAATTTCTGGTTGCTAAAGCCATCCATTGCAGTGTTTCTGTTATGGCTGCACTAGAGAACCAAGACACATGTCTAAACACATTTTGTTTGGAATAAACCTGTGCGTGTATGGATTAAAACCCTACTAGCAATACTTTTGACTTACCCTTGTAATTTATAACAGCAGAAAGGAATTTGAGACCTCAGATCACACCACAGTGAGAAAATATGAACTGAACACCTTTGTTGTAGAAAGCACAGTGTGGAGCACTTTGAGGGCCATTGAACAAAACCATTGTCATCGAGTCATTCCAACTCATAGACACTGGATATAGACAGGGTTTCTGAGACTCCAAAGCTGTACTGCAGAAGGTAATGTCATCTTTCTCCTGCAGAGCTACTAATGGATTTAAACTGCCAACCTTGTGGCTAGCAGAAGAGTACCAACATATGTTTGAAGGTAACTTGTAAGTGTTAGTGCAATTATTAAGCGCTCATTTGCTAATTGAAAGGTTGGTGGTTCAAGCCCACCTAGCAGTTCTCTGGAAGACCAGGGGATCTGCTGCTGTAAAGATTACAGCCAAGAATACTGTCTAGGGCAGTTGTACTGTGTCACACGGGGTCACTCTGAATTGACTCAGCTGTGCCCCACAACTGTAGCTGAGAGGTGCAAACATACTTACGGCATAATTGTTTTGAAGGAGCATGTGTATTTAACATTGGGGTTTCACCGTGTGCCAGGTACTGGACTAAGTGTTGAGTGTAGGGGAGTGAAGAAGACAGATGTGGTCCCTGCTCATGTGTAACTGGAGGAATAACAGGAAATTGCTGATTGTTTTGAGTGTCAATGAAGGAAACAAGGAGGGTGAAGGAGGGTGGAGTTGGATAGAGTGCCCACTTTAGACAGGGTGGCCAGAGAGACCTCTTTAAGAGGAGGCAGCTACATTAAGAGAAAGGTGAGAAGGAGCTGATGGTGGGGAAGAATGTTCCAGATGGAAGAACAGTGAAGACGAAACCCTTCCAGGAGTGAGTCCCAGTGAGGCAGGATTGCCAGGTGCCCACACCAGTAAAACCCAGTTACTATGGAGTTGATTCCAATTCATGGCATGTTCATGTGTGTCAGATAGAACCGTGTTCGCAGGGTTTTCAATGGCTGGTTTTTCACATGAAGATTACCAAGTTTTCTGCTGAGGTTGTACTGTCGATGCTGACGCACAGGACCTGTATAGGGTTTCTGAGGAGCAGCTGGTGAACTGAACTGCTGACCTTGTGGTTTGCAGTCCTGTACTGATTCTACCATGCCACACCAGGAGTCCGTGGTACCTCTTGTTGTTATGTGCCATCGAGTCGGTTCCGACCCATAGTGACCCTGTATAGGGATGGACTCAAACCTCTTCCTGCTCTACCAGCAGCTTGTATCTGTGGTAGGGGAGATATGCCATGAAATCGGGTCCAACTCATAGTGATGAGCCTGTATAGGGTTTCAGAGACTGTAAATCTTTATGGGAGCAGAAAGCCTCATCTTTTCCCATGGTTGGTAGATTTGAACTGCTGACCTTGTAGTTAGTAGCTCAGGTGGTAACCCACTATACTACCAGGGCTCCTGGTATCTGTGAAGCATTTACTAAATGCCAAATGCTTACCAAGTGCTTCACATACAGTGTCTCTTTCAATGCGTGCAACAATCACTATTGTTATTGAAGCTCAGATAGCTTAATAATTTTATTCCAAGTGGTACAGTCACAACTTGGACCAGAATGATCTTGTTCAAAGCTGATATTCATTATGACTACTTACCTTCACAGTAGGTATTCAATAGATTTTTATTACACGAATACCAATACTATTATTGGCTAAGATTGGTTGAGTGTGTTGATTACCATTCAATCTCACCTCCCTGATGATGTGTGTGTGATTTTGTTGCTCTTGTTAGGTACTGTAGTTCGTTTCATAGTGACCCTGCATGACAAGAGTAGAACTGTCTCCTAGGGTCTTCTTGGCTATAAACTTTAGGGAAGCAGATGGTGGGTCTTTCTCTCACAGAGCTGCTTGGTGGGTTTGAACCACAACCTTTTGGTTAGCAGCCAAGTGCTCAAGGCCTTCTTTTATGTCTACTTTTATCTCCATTTTACAGACAAGAAAACTACATGGAGAGGTTAGGTAGCAAGTTCATTGCAGATCATTTACTCATTTGTTCACTATTGTTTGAGTCATAGTCCAGGTGTGGCACTGTGGGCTAATGTGCCAGACTGTAAAGTCATTTGAATCGCAAGGTTGGTGGTTCAAGCTCACCAGCTGCTCCTTGTAAACCCCATACAGGGTGGCTATGGATCAGAATTAACTCGACAGCACTTAACAACAACAACAACAACAACAATAAACACAGTTTGAATCGCAAGGTAGGGTGTTCAAACTCACCAGCTACTCCTCAGAAACCCCTATACAGGGTCACTATCGGTTGGAACCGACTCGACAGCAGTTAACAAGAACAGGTGCTGAAGATACAGCAGGAAACGGAATGCAATCTTTCATCTTAAGGATCTTGCATCCAAGTAGGTAGGACAGTTAATGACAAGTAGCAAGTTGGTGAGACTGAACCACCAACCTTGTGGTACAAACTGACCTTGTAGTCTGATTTGTAACCACTACACAAGAGCTCAGAGGGTAGCGTAGTGGTTACAAATCGGGCTGTGAGCCGCAAGGTCAGTAGTTCAAAACTACCAGCTGTTCTGCTGGAGAAAGAGAAGGCTTTCTACTCCCATAAAGATTTCCAGCCTTGGAAACCCTGTTCAGGGTCGCTATGAGTCGGAATCGACTCCACGGCATATAACAACAACAACAACAACAACACTACCAGCCATGTTAGTTGGTGATAAAAGCTTTGGAGAATACTACAGCCGGGTGGGAGGCTCCAAAGGAATGGTGAAGAGATGAATGGAGTTGCTATTTTAAGTAGGGCTGACAGGGAAGGTCTTTGATAAGAAACTACTTCCTATAGCAGGCAAAGAATGAGTCTTCAGGGTGTTTGGGGAAGTGCTGGCCCTGCACACATTCCCTTGTCAGAAGTCTAGTCCCTAAGGACAATAACCTATTGCCTACTGGAATGAACAGTTGAATGAATGCATTCCTTCAACATTTAGGGCCCCTTAGGCCCCTTCTCAGGAACCTCACTGATGTGGAAAAACAGGCCCATGCACAAGGCAGGTACAGGTGATTCCTGGGTTACAAATTAGATCTGCTCGTGTTCTCTAAATCCAATTTATAACTAAATTGAAACAGGTGCCTACGGTTCTTTATAAGTCTTGTTGTTGACCGACCCATAGGGACCCTGTATAGGGTTTCCAAGGAGCAGCTGGTGAGCTTGAACTACCAACCTTGCAGTTCAAACGGCTTTGCAGCCTGGCACATTAACCCACAGTGCCACATGCCACATTAAGTCTTACTTTAGTGCAAAAGAAAAAAAGGCTTGAAGGCTTTTCAGTGATTTAGTGAAAGTGACTGTGATGAGCAATTTGTTGTGAGTTGGGGTTGGTTCCAGGAGTCCTGGTGGCACTGTGGTCAGAACTGACTCATCGACACCTAACAACAACAACAGGGGTTGGGTCATTCGGTTCAAAGGGAGGGCACATTTACATAATGGGCAAATAACCCTGGGACTTCCCCTGTAAACACAAACCATAAATGAATGCCCAGGTGAGATTAGCTGACCTGGAGGTGGAGGTTGCCCTCCCATGGAGAGAGCTGGCCTCAGGAGAACAGGGCTAATAGCTGGCTGGTCATGACCGAGGATTCTGACTCTTGGGTCTGACTGAATTCCCAGTTACCCTGGGCCATCAGCAGAGCACACATTTAAAAAAACATATAACCTTTTAAAATGAGAGAAAACGAATGGAGAAGTAAAAGATAAACAGAGCTAAATTAACTGATGAATAGCAATAAACTTTCACTGAAATGCCAAACTGGAAATAAGTAGGAGTGAAGGGCTGCCTTTTAATTTTTGTGATTTTTCTCCATGTGTTTAGGATCAAGGGATGCTTGTTAATCACTCTGGGCCCGGCACCTAATAGCTGCTCAGTAGATGTTTGTTGAATGAATAAATGATTGACTGAAAAAAGAACTAAATGAATGAGAGGAGCAAAGAGGCTAAAAGTTTTGGATACAGACACACCTGGATTGTCTGCCACTATCGATCGATGCCATCTTTAATCTCTAAGCCTTAATTCCCACACCTATAAAATGGCTATGGATCTAGCACTTGTCTAGGATTATTGGGAGAATCAGTTGAGATCATTTCCATTAAGATTTTAGCACAGGAATCAGTCTGATAGTATTGTTGTTGTTAAGTGCCATTGAGTAGGTTCTGACTCATAGTGACCCTGTATAGGGTTTCCGAGGAGCCTGAACCGGTAAGCTTGACCTGCCAAGCTTGCTGTTCAAACCAACCTTGCAGTCCAGCACATTAATCCGCAGTGCCAGGAAGACTCCATTATAGTATAGGACCTGGTCGTGGCTAGTTACATACTTTGGCAAAACCTACTTCTAAAGAACTTGTGGAACAGAGTATCTCTTCCTTGCTCACTGGTATTAGAAAGACAGGCTGGCCAATGATCCCCATTTATAGGTGAAGACATTCCCACCTGGAGAAGGTGTTTCGAGAGTAAAATCAAATTCCACCAGTGCACTACCAGTCACTCCCCTCACCCCACAAAAGCCTTGGTGGGCTCATTCCTTCCTTCCAGGGGCTTTCCTGGGCTGCTGTATAGATGATATGTAGATCAGAAGGATTCCACCAGGACAAGTAAGTGGGGCAGGTGACTTGTTGGCAGGTGGGAGGAGACTGGACTTCATGGCCCTGGGTGCAGCACCAGTAAAGCAGATGCCATGGAGTCATTTCCAACTCATGACAACGGCAATCCCATGCATGTCAGAGTAGAACTGTACTCCACAGGTTTTCAATGGCTGATTATTTGGAAGTAGAATCACCAGGCCTTTCTTCCAATGCACCTCTGAGTGGACTTGAACCTTTGGTCTTTCATTAGCAGCTGAGCATACTGGTCATTCACCTCACCCAGATGTTCTTTGAGCTCTGGTAGCATAGTGGTTACAAGTTGGGCTGCTAACCTCAAGGTCAGCAGTTCAAAACTACCATCCAGGCCGTGGGAGAAAGATGAGACTTTACTGCTCCTGTAAAGATTTCCAGCCTCGGAAACCCTATACAGGGTCTCTATGAGTCAGAACCGACTCCACGGCACATAATTATCAACCGCCTTTGCAAGGGGTGGGTGAGGGAGTTTGTGGGCAGGGCATGTCTATTTATGTCCACTGGATGGTCCACAGACCTGGATATTCCTCTGACTTTGTTAACCAGGAGTTAAATAACCTGAATTCTCATTTAATTGTTTGGGACTTTAAGGAGAGCAAAGAAATATCAGAATAAGTACACCCTCTATCCCCAAAGCTCATCTCTCTCAGAGACCTTAGAAATCTCCATATGACCTGCCTCGGCTTTGTAAAAAAAGAGCTAAAGCTCAGGAGAGAAAGCACCTGCCTACAGCTCTTCCTGGCCAGGGCCTTTGCATGGGGCTCAATAACGCATAGTAATAATGCTCACAAGCTTTAAAAAACAACAGCTCCAAAATTCCCATTCCTAAGCCCTTTCCAGCTGTAGATGTAAAACAGTAAGGGTTAATCTTCAGAATCAAGTCCACTTGAGACCCTTGATTACTTTGTAATTGTTAAGTCAGCATGCATAATGAGCTCAGATTCTTTGTAACATTATCAACCCCAAGGCCTCTACTGTTCAGTAAGTATTGTTACTGTTATTGGCCATTGGTTTTGGGGTGTCTGCAGTGCTGGAACATACATGGCACTCTGTAGGCACTATTTCTAAAGCTCACTACAACCAGGAAAGGGCACACCATTGTACACATAGGGAAATTGAGTCCTGGGGAGGACAATTAATCCAGAGATGCAGGCTGTGGCCTCAGACCCAGCTGATTCCAAAGCCTTATCTCTTTCTACTATATTTCTTCCCACTGTCTTGTCTCCTCCAAGCCTGAGATTATTTCAGTTCACCAGTCCTTAAAAGAATGACCAAACCCAACTTCTCAACAACAGCGTGACTTGGGGAAACAGTTTGGTTACTTACAGTCTTTGATGGTGGCCTTGGTCTCTTCAGCATCATTAAAAAAGGAATAACCTGGGAAAGAGAAAGAAATCCACAAAGCATACCATGCAATCCAGGGAGAAGAGGTGTGGGGGAGTGACGATGTCTTTTCAGGGAAGATGATTTTAGAAGGAACCTTGGCAACCATCTGATCCTTATAGGACCACCCTGAAGCCATGTCTGGGGGTGTGTGACATCTCCTTGTCTCTAAAGGCCACTTGGGGGAATGCATCCCGCCAGGCATCCTGACAACCTCTGTGGATTCTCTGAATGGCCATTGGGTGTGTGCAGCACCTTGCCCAGGAGCAAGGAGAGCTGGGCTTTCAGCTGGCCTGGTTGGCCTTTTATGTGGTCTTGGCTCTGTGTCTTAGTATCTGGGCTCATTTTCCTCATTGGCAACATGAGACAAAAGACTTTGAATGTTTGTTATATGCTGGTCAAGGGGGCAATGGACACAGGAGGCCGCAATAAGGAGAAGAGCCTCTGTGAACTTTGAGTTTAATGAGAATTTGGAGACTATGTCAGGGTCTCAGTTTTCTTGACTATAGAAAGGCATTGAAATAAGAGATTAAGATCATGTTTGCCCAAGTAGCATGGGCAAAGAACATCCACTTCTTAGCTTTCTTTATGTCCAACGTGAGGTCTCCTTTCTATTTACTAAGGAGGCTGCAACAGGGATCAATTGTCTGTTTCATGTGCCATTTTCTTACTAGTAATCCATGGTACCCCTGTTCACTCTGAACCGAATGAGAACTGATGAAGGGACCTATTGCTCCTCATACTAGAAAGCTACCCTATGCCCTCTACCCTTCCTGCCAACCTCTTCTTCCAAGTACCAGTGTCTGGGCTCTAAATCCTACAGCAACAGACCCTAGAATTCCCTGTATCTCCTCACCCAGCACAATGTCCTCATACTGTGTTCTAGTCTGCCAGAGCCCTAATCTGTAGGGCAATACCAGGACTAAACTAGGTTATAACCAGTTAGCCATAGAATTTATTGTCCAAATGGAGATACTTTTGAGAATGAAAGGCAGTGTTAATAACAAGCATTCCAGGAAAACAGATAAAAATAGGATCTGTCCTGGGACAACAGTGACATATTGGAATTCTGGCCCCAACACACTTCTCTCCAAATGGTACTTGAAGAACATCAGAGGAAGAACTTCAAAGGAAGCAGATTGGAGGCATAATTTTACTGCTCAACATGATATCCCCACTTGGCTTGCGAAACTCATCGCCCTCGGGCTGATTTAAACTCTAGCAACCCTATAGGAAAGAGTAGAATTTTCCATAGGTTTGCTAGGCTGTGTGGCGCTGTAGGGTAAGCACTGCATTGCCAGCGGTCAATGGCACTAAACAACAACAATCTTAATGGGTGCAAATGGTCATCTCTTTCTTCTCACAGAGCGACTGGTGGGTTCAGAGCTGTGGCCTTTCAGTTAGCAGCAGAACTCTCACCAAGCCACTTCTTAGTCTGCCAAAGTGCTGGAAAGTCCACCATTGGAGGCCACATGATGACTCCAGGGCTTCTTGAGAACAGGTGTGGGGAAACTTTTTTTCTACCAAAGTTTATAACCTCAATCCTGGGCCATACAAAATTATCAACTTAAGTTAGTGTGCTATATTTGGTCAAACATTTATTTAACTTATCCCTAATGAATCTCGGAGTCCTGGTGTGGTGCTGTGGCTAATGCACCAGACTGCAAAGCTGTTTGAACTGCAAGGTTGGCGGTTCAAACTCCCCAGCTGTTCCTCGGAAACCCTATCCTGGGTCACTAAGGGTTAGAACTTACTCCACGGCACATAACCAACCAACCAAATGTGATGGTAGCATTGTTGTTGTTGTTGTCAGGTGCCATCGAGTCAAAACCGACTCGAGTCAAAAGGTGCCATCGAGTCAAAAGCGACCCCATGCACAGCAGAACGAAACAATGTCCGATCCTGGGCCAACCTCACTACCGCTGCCACACTTGACGTCATCAATGATGTCACCTGGCTGATCCATCTCATTGGGGGTCTTCCTCTTTTTCTCTGACCCTCCACCTTACCCAGCATGACATCCTTCTCCAGCGACTGTCCTCTCCGGACAATGTGTCCAAAGTATGAGAGATGAAGCCTAGCCATCTTGGCCTCCAAGGAGCATTCTGGTTGCACTTCTTCCAAAACAGATCTATTGGTTCTTTTGGCAGTCCATGGCACTTTCAGTATTCTCCTCCAACAGCACAACTCAAAGGCATCAATTCTCATAGTGGTTATGAATTGGGCTGCTAACCTCAAGGTCAGCAGTTTAAAACTACCAGTCGTTCTGCAGGAGAAAGATGAGGCTTTCTGCTTCTGTAAAGATTTCCAGCCTGGGAAACCCTATGCAGGGTTGCTATGAGTTGGAACCAACTCCAAGGTACAACGCCACCACCAGTGTGATGACTGGTACTGCAGTTGCCTTGGCAGAACCAGATCAAATAATTCCGTCTTACATGGCCCATGGGCCAGACAGACAGCCCCTATCCCTGCTTTAGAATAAGAACAGACAGCTTCAACTCATGGCTGTAGAGTCAATTCTGACCCATCGCAACTCCATATGGGACAGAACAGAACTGCTCCACAAACTTTCCGAGACTGTAAAGCTTTATGGGAGCAGAAGGCTTCATCTTTCTTCCACAGTGTGGCTGGTGGGTTTGAACCACCAACTTTTAATTTAGAAGACTAATATTTAACCCACTGTATCACTAGAGTTCCTTAGAGGCAACTTTTCCTTGTTGTTCAGCGCCCTTGAATGAATTTCGACTCATAGCAACCCTGTTCAGGGTTTCCAAGGAATGACTGGTGGGTTTGAACCTCTGTCATTCTAGTTAACTGTCCAGTGCTTATCCTACCACGCCACACCAGAACGCCATAGGCAACTTGTTGTTGTTGTTGTTAAGTGCCGTCGAGTCGGTTCCGACCCATAGCGACCCTGTACAGGGTTTCCGAGGGTGTAAATCCTTACGGGAGT